GTTACATATTTGAGAGCTTATTCCGAGCGACGCCAGAGTAACATCAATGCGTCTTGCCTATTTTTTGTTAGAAAAGTAGGTTTAGTTTCCCGATTCAGAATGTCTAGGGTATTAGAGATAATGAAGTCAAGTAAGTATTCACCGCTATTCCATGCGGTGTGATAGGCGTTGGCATCTGTGCCAATGAGAATCTGTAGGTTATTTAGCCCACAGTATTGCACTATATCTCAAGTTCTGCAGATGAAGGTGGATTGGAGGAGTCATATGGCAGGTACACAGAATAATGAGCTCCTCAGTGTTCTTTGCTTCTTGGTAGTCAAACTTTATTGCTGCCACGCCCCTAAAACAAAAAATTGTCATTTATTTTGCATTAATATTGTTGTTTGCAATAATGCAGCTTCTAACATTCTCTGAGTTTGAGTTACTAACTTAACTTACCTCCGATGCTGCCTAGACCCATGACTCTGTTCCCTGACGTCCAGGGAATGGATCAGAGCCACGTCAATGCCACCTGCCACGAAGGTTTTGCAGAAGGCAGCAGTTGCGGCTTTCTTATGCTGCAGGTATATTTGAAGGACCCGCAGCATTTTTGGGTTTTGGATCTAGGACCCTGAGGTTAGCATCGTGAGGCCAAGGTAGAGCTGTTGAAGTCTTTTTTGGATAGCACCTTCAGAGAGTTCTCGTCTATTCCAACTATGAGAATGGAGCCTTTTGGTTCTTTGGTTTCTTGTTGAACACCTTCCAGTCATCCGCGTTCATCCCCGTGTTTTGGGTTTTTAGACAACGGAGTGCTCTTATCGGGTCGTCAGCATCAAGATATTCTTTGGGTATCCACACCGATACCCGTACCTACTCTGGGAGCAACATCGTTGGATGGTAGCACCCTCAGATTTGCCCCTTCCCAGGGGTTTAGTTTTGGGGTTACCATTTCTAGCCATTCAGTAGCCTCGTTGTTTGCGCAATGGAAGTGAACCATGCCATGTTCTGCTTGGCTATGGTTAAACTTGGGTCCTTTTCCAGGTTTGCACTTCCAGATTTCCTAGACGATAGCTTCCTGTACCTTTTTCCCTTGTTCTGCAGTCATCTTAGTGTCAGGATAGGTACTTGTGATGACAGCCATCTTGATTGTTAACACAACCTTGCTATGAGATAGTTCATTGGCTATAACTGGCTCCAGTTGGTTTACTGCGTTTTGTTGCAGCTTGATTGTGTTTCGCAATTATTTGAGGGTTTTGTGAGGGTGATGGTTTAATCCCTCTGAGCTCTTGTTCACCTTTTGCTGCTGGTTTGCAGTAGCTGTTGGAGTTTGGTGTGCTCCAGCGTTATCAGTGGCCTGAAGTACCTTGTTCCTTTTTAGGAGTTTGGGGTGTCCTGTTTGCTCGTGATTTGCGAGGTATAGGTTCCCCTTTGGCTTTGGCCCGTTCGGTAGCTCTCTGGCGTTTCTAGGCGCCTTGTTTATTTTTAGTCTATTGATTTGAGACCCATGGTTCCTTATAGGTTTATCATCTTCCTCGGTTTTGCTGCGTCCAGCTTCCCGCTCCGATGGTGACACCCCTTTTTCCGCAAGGCTTGTACTGACCTCCGGTCATCTTGTGGTGGTTTGGTCTGTTGGATCTTCCACCGACTTTGTTCCAAGAGATGGTTTGGTTGAGGCTGAACCACTGGGATTTTCCTCTACCTCCATTGACATCTTGGATTGGGCTAAGATGCTTCTTGAAACCGAGTGGCGGGTTCCAGTGGTTCACAATGGCCTTCCCTGAGAACCGTCAGACGGGAGCCCCATGACCGCGACAAGGTCTTGCATCTCCCACGGGGGATTGTACATACATATAAACATACAGGGTGACAATTTGAAAAGTAGCAATCGGAAATATCTCTTAGACAAAAAATACTATCAGGAAGGTCTCAAATACGTATCGGGGCATTGGAGGGCGAACCAGAATGAGACACTTTTTGAGTCACTCCGCCTCACCCCTTAGGAGGTAGCTACCCTAACTTATTTTTTTTTTAAATACGAACCTACTTTGTGTTGCACATCGTTGGATAGCTCGTTGCTACTCTTTTGCAGTCCTATAGCAAAATCTCAAATCGAACGATTACTTTTTGAGATATCGAAAACTAGTAATTTTGACTATCTCTTAGACAAAACAATTCTGTCATAAAAGTCTTGAATACACATCGGCGAATCCAAATAATGTGTATACCATAATTCTATCTGCTTTTCCACGCCTCCAAAGAGGAATAAATACCCTTTCAAAGGAGATTTCACACGGGGTAGGTTCTCATTTTAGAAAAATTTATAGGGTCGGCTAACCCCCAAGACAAGAGGGGTGGGGGGCTAGTCAATAAACACATTTGATTTCCCCGATGTGTATTTGAGACTTTTATGACAGAATTGTTTTGTCTAAGAGATATTCAAAATTACTAGTTTTCAAAATGTCCTTACTTTTATACACCGATATCTCAAAAACTAATCGTCCGATTCAAGATTTTGCTATAGGACTGTAAAGGGATAGCAAGAGCTATCCAACGATGTGCAACACAAAGTAGGTTCGCATTAAAAAAAATAATAAGTAAGAGTAGCTACCCCCTAAGGGGTGTGGTTCATAAAGTGCCTCATTTTGGTACCCCCTACAATCCTCCGATACGTATCACCCTATATATGAAGATGCAGTATGGAATGTCAAGTTGTTATCATTAAAAGGTATTTTTGCTGGCACAACAAGATAAATTGCTTTATATTGGTCGGGCCAAGTAGGTAAGCTTAGAGAGATTTTCAAAATACTTTCTCAGTTATTTAATACTGCGTGGAATGTTTAACTGGAATAAGTTCTGTATACGAAAAAATATAAGGACTGTTCGGGTTTGGAAAAAGGACAGTTGTAAAACGGTTAAAAACAATCGCACGGTTTATTATTGAAATTTGTGATAGTCGAGCTATTGTCATTTTGTTGATTGATAAACTGCGATTGTTTTGAACCGTCCTTTTTCCAAACCCGAACGGGCCCGTAATTTCCAGACGTCAAAAAATTATTTTCACACTAATTTCTGTGTGAGAAATGTCACCTTGGTTTTATTCACCTTAGCGACGTGCACGAAATTCTTCGCGCACTAGAGCACGGAATAGTTCTTGCACGCTAACAATGATAATATTTTCAAAATACATAAATGGGATGAAATCGACCGACAAAGTTTATTAATAAATTACAGAAAATTGATATCTTCTCAGCTAGATACCTACTCAAATTGAATAAGAGCCAAAGTTTCCCTCATCAATGAATAATTTTGATTGTTACGGCTTCATTAAATGTCTTTATCCAATACGCAGATTTTTACTTTAAATATGGCATCAGCTTCGTGAATTTTCTTAAATCAATGTTCTCTTTAATAATTAGTGTTGATTTCAAAACAGTGCCCACAAAATAGGAGATTGAACTATTTCCAATTCCTTCTCGAAATAAGTTAGATTTACGGTTTCACGATTTTTAAAATTTTTGCGGTAATAATGCCGCGTCGGTCATACCTTGGGAAAAAAACTTTGACAAGAAGTGTGTCAATATCTATTGATATTTTTTATTTCTGTGGTAACCAATTAACAAACTTTTCAGTGATAGAATTTCCTTGTATGTTTTTGATATTGCCCAAAATTATTTCAATTCTGACTGTAGAAAAAACGTTGTATGTACCTAACTCGTGTGCGAAATTTGTTTCGTGATTTTTTTGTCATTCTCTAGCACCAAAAGTTTGATTTCGCGCATTAGATACATAAATAACTGCTTTTTAAATGTAAAAATACCATTTTTAGTTTGACTTTGCTTTGTTCAAATAATATTTGAAATAACTCCCTACATTTGCATTGAAATGGAAGAATATGCCTTGCATTTCGTCTTTGTAAAGGGCATAAAAAATCAATTCAATGCACTTTTTACTTTTGCGATTACAGTGTTGTAGGCCGAGTTTCTGATATTTAATCAGTGAAACCAAATTCTCGTGCCAAGGGTCCTTATTTGCCAAATTTCAATTGGTTACCGTTGATTGTGACCCTTATTCAAATAAAGTTTCCTGTTTCAAGACAAAGAAATTCTACCTTAGTAGAAAGTTACATAAGATAATTATTGTAGATACGAATTCGTTTTTGTAAGGTTGCAACGATCTCTTTAGTGTACCAACAATTCAAAGTTTGAAAAAATGTTTACGTCTCACAACACTCTCATCGCAAAAATGCATATGTACCTAGTGCATTGAATTCCTGCAAGGCATACTCTTCCATAAAAACGTAGGTATTTTTCCCTATAAATATATAGATTTTTTTCCAAATTCTCCACACCATATCGAGTAATCATACTATGAAACACAGATTCCAGAACCTGGAATTTGGATTAGAATGAATAACCTAAAAAATTATTATCCTATTTATTTTTTCGAAGTTTTATCTTCTTCTGAAATTTTCCCAGTTCTCTCCAGGAGCCATTAATTGCAAACAAAAAATTCTAATGACACAAAATGAAGAAAAAAAAATTTCTGAACATCATTGTGAAAGAATGTGTTTATATTATACTACCTACTAGAAATGACAGTGAAAACAAGCATCTTAATCGAGAGGTCGATTTGAATCTATTGAATGAACCCTAGTGAAAATTTCACTGTCGCTCTAATAATTGCCCCCAGGGATTAATTCCCACATGGGGGAGAAGCAAAATCCAATCGGCCAAATCAAGTAAGAATTGCGGTTTCGATTTATCTAAGCAACTCGCGTTTCTTGAGCGAAGAATTTCTTCGGCGTAACCCTAATTTCTTCAGCTGGTCCATACGACACACTTCCTGAATACTACTTGGTAGCGTTTCATACGGATGAGTATAAAATGTTCCCACTTCTTTTTGGTGCTTCATTTTATTTTCTGCTTTGGTCATGTGCTAACTGCTATCATCAGCACTATTTTTTCTTCAAAAAAAAAACAGTCTGTTGGTTTTAGTAGAAAAAAAATTGAAAAGACAATAATATGAAGTGCTTTGTGATTTGTGCGGTAATTGCCGTTTCTTTTGCTGTGGCAACTGCAGGGCCAGTGGTAGATGAACATCAAACTCCACACATAAATTCGGTGAGTCGCATAAACCTAAATTCATGAAAAAATTGATTTGTCATATTTAGGAAAATAAATAATAAAGCAATTTAATATTTTCAAGTTTGTATGCTTTAATAAAATTTTAATTCTATTTCTATTTACTTGTTGTTGCTGTGTCACTTTCATTATAAACTTTGTAAAAGCTAGAATTTCTTTAATAATAATTTATTTACCTTTAACACCTGTTATGGATATTGAATTAATCGACCATAATGTAGGTATCTAACGAATCATTATTAAACGTATTAATACGAGCCTGCATCAAGCAAAAACTGTGAAGCCGCTCTTGCGTAAACCAGGTTCAATTTGCTCAAGATCAAGTTTATTTACTTGGTGATGCAATAAAGTAAATAAACTATTGAATAAATTATCTGCGGTCGTTTATCTTAGGCGGAATATTGAAATTGAAGCGATTTTTTTCGTAACGAACAATGAGATTTATTTAAATTTTTTTTGGTATCTACATAATTAATATTATTCCATGAGCTCAGGATTTATGAATTTGCCTGAAGATCTTTCACTGCTCATATTAATATGTAATTTTCTTTTAGATTCACTCCAATGAGCCAACCATTGAAGAATCTTTAATGAAAAAATTAAACAACAAATGTTCGAAACACGACATTTCGTCCTGCATGATGTTGAAACTTGTCACTTACTTCAATCGTATGCTGAAGAAGTCTCAAATTGAACTGGGGGATGTTGAAATCAGTCAAACTTCCACTGAAACCACTACAATTGAGAGCTCAAGAAGTTTAAAAGACGTCGAAAAAATGTCTGATGAAGAACAGTTGACTACACTTATTGGCGATAAATTGTACAACTTTGTTCGTACTAGGTCCATGAAATGGCATGTAAGTATATTCAAATATGTTAAACGGATGTTATTCTTCTGTTAGTTTCACAGCCCCATCCTATTCTAAACCTCAATTAACCCTGTTGTTACACAGAGAATTAGTCTTGAAATAATTCCATATTACCTCAAATTTACTTACCTATATCTGCTTCGTAGCAACCCTCGTCTAAACTAAAATACAGTTCAGCCTCGTAACCAGACGTGCTCAAATTTGATGCTTTGATGTTTGTTAAATCGTGCAAATCAGCAACGGTTCAATCTTGTTTTTTAAATTAAAGCCTCAAAATTATTATGAACTCTTTAAAATTACGTCGGAAATTTAAGGAATTTTTGCGGTTGCGTTTATTATAATTTTCCACAATAAAATTTTAATTTGCTCCATATTATTAGGGTGGCATTACACGGCGCGTGGCGAGAAAAATTTATTTGACGTTTACCGATAATTTTAATCGAAAACAATTCATGTATTTATTAACTAGCCCCAACCTTAAATCCCAAAACAGTTTTATTCTTTCTCCTAATCTAATTTTACAGCAACGAGGCGGGTTAACATTTAAAACATCTCAAATCCGTTCCACTTCTGTGCCATTATAAGACACATTAAAGCTAATCGGAAAAAAGCTTAAATACATGTTTGTAATTGTTGTTTCTTGTAGATTTCTTTTCTGTAAAGTATCTACTATATTGACCCTATTCTGATATTATGGTAATTAACATGTAAACATTGAAAAAACCATCAAAGAGAAAAAAACATTGATTTGGTCCTTTTTTGGTATGACTTTCCCAAAAGGATGTTCTATTGCTAGTTCTTTAAACGATACCACTTCAAATTATTTACTACGAAAGCATGCATTTAACATAAACTGCTGTTCATTCTTATAATTTACCAAATCGTAATAGTTCTTTCAAAGGTCTAGGCTGAACAAATAAAAACTCCTTAAAACGTATATTTGTTTGTAAATATAATAAAAATCATTTTTTAGGTAACCGATGGTGCTGATCTGGTGGTATCTGGAAGAAGTGACAACGACGGCGGTTTGAACCTTGGCTTTTCTATTCGTCCAGTTGAAGGTGCCACAGAAGAGAGCCGTAAAAAGAAAAACGAAGGAGGTAACATGAACGGTATCATGGCTGCAGCTATGATGAAGATTGGTCTCCTCAAGGCTTTGGCTTTCAAGGCTTTAGTAATTTTGGTCGGAAAAGCCTTACTTGTTAGCAAAGTAAGCATATTATAAATACAGTATAAAAAGTGAATTTAATATTCCTCTAACCTGAATAGTAATACCTTATAATTTTCACATAGTTACTATCATATCTCATCTTCACTAATCAAAATCGTATACGGTTTTATGTGTCAAAAGATTCCATGCATCCCACGTATAAGTTCATTAGGTTAGTCGGATCACGAGAACTTTCTTCATAGAAATTCGCTATCACGAACTCCGTGGGAAGTAAACTAATGGCGTCATTGGCGTCTTAATTATTGAGACTTAGGTATAAAATTTGCATCTTAATATTACTGGAGTTTATCAAGTATGGATGAGAGTTACAATACTTGAAATTAAGTAGGAAATTGTATGAAATCTTCAATAACTAATTATTGTTTTTGAAAAAATGATTACACTCTGTCAACAGACAGTCATCATTTAGTAATGCATTAATTAGTAATTAGTTTCCCACAAAACTAAAAGCACTTGTATTTCTCAACAAACAACTTTCTCACTTTCATGGCATGATTTTCATAACCTTGATGAAAGCCAAATAAGGGAGACTCCTCTACTCGTTTCATACTAAATCCGAAAACTATCAAGACAATCTTTATAGGCAATCTTTGATGAATATTTTATCTTTACGTAAGCACGCAAATCCTTGAGCTTAAACCATAGGCAACCAGTTCAACACCTAATTACCTTATGAAGCAGCAAGTGGAAAGTAGTCTTCAACCAAGTTGACTTTCACCTTAAACTTGTAAACACTGCTGCAAGGTGGCAACCTTCACCGCTTCACTAGGTCAGGATTAAATTTCTTCTTTGATGAATAGTGTTGGTATGTCCCTACCAGTAGGTGGCGCAGGTCTGATGTTCTCTTCTAGGTCAAGAAAAGTAATTGATTCGAGTGTCTGATTGCGAATACAGGTGGCACCCACTTACAGGAGTCAAGAGAACCTGTTTGGTTCTTTTTTTATTCAGTTAAGAGGAGAGTTGACACTTTGTTCATTTGAGATAAAACATTTTGAAAATCCTGTTCTGCTTTCTCCGTGGTGATGTTAAGCAAATCGGCCTAAGTATGCCTTGCGGCCGTGATGCAGGCTTTGCATCATTCAGATTTTATCTCAATTATCTTTTCCGCTGCACAGCTACTTTTCTTAAGTAGGTATGTGTTAGAAGAATTCAAATCCTCAACTCACGATGGTGCGTCATAGAAAAATTCTTAGCGTGTTCCAAAGTTTTTGGTTAAGAAATTACTCAATGGTAGATTATGTTTCACTGTTTTTTATGGTTGAATTTTTTATTCCATAATTTCAAATAATCTTTATGTATTTCTATTTCTAGCTCGCCCTTGTTCTCGCCGCAATTATTGGTCTCAAAAAGCTACTTAGCCAAGAAAAGCACGTAACCTACGAAGTAGTAGCCCAACCCCATCATGACCACCACGAACACCACGTTAGCAGCGGTGGACATGACAGCTACGGAGGTGGTGGCTGGGGAAGAACTTTCGACGCTAAGGAAGCCCAAAACTTGGCTTACAGTGCCCAAGTACCATCTAATTAAATTAGATAGAATTAGTCCCAAATGTTACCACCATATTGGTGTCCAGTGTGCTATTTAATTTATTTATTTGTTTATTAATTTATTCATGTTGATGTAAATGTTAATTTTATTAAATAAATTGTTCTTAAATGATTAAAGGTTTAATAAACTTTTTTTGTCTCGAAGGTTAGGATTTAAAAAAAAATCTCTGTCTATAGTTTGTAAAAACCTTCAAAATAGGTACGCTAGAAAAACACGTTATCAACTTTTTAATAAACTTCAGCCAAGAAATCTTCCGTGTCCCCATGGAGTACTCCAACTAAATTAGTTTTTAAGGAGTTGAAACCTTGAACTTTTTCAAAGTTATAAATCATTTAGTTTCAAACTATGTAGGTACCTACTTCACTTTATTAATTTAAAATTCATTTCACGGGCTTCTGATCCTTCAGGCACATTTTAAAGCGAAAATAAGTACATCAAATTTGATTGATTTAAACATAATTGCTTAACCGTTCCTCTTATCATTGACAAGTTCAGGACGCTTGGAGAACTTTTACTCTATTTATAAACCCTTGTCTCAGTATTAAATTTTCTATATTGTCTGGGTTGTCTCTTATATCCTCGCATTTGAAATGAAACGGCTTAAAACGTTTAATTATTATTTAACTACTGTCTTGTAGCTTTGTGGATCCTCATTTTAATTAACTATTTGAAAGATTTGTTAATAGAATATAATTTAGAAAGCGGGCGTTAGAAAGAAAATAGACCAGGCATTAGAGAAATTCAGCTTGCAAAAGGTGGGGTAGTCGCAATTTTGTCATATTGCTCAGATTGAAGCGTTAAACAAGAATTTGAGTTTTCAACCTTGGGGGGGGGGGCGGCTTCCTCCGCCATCTTGGATTTAGTGTGCACAAAAATGGTTTTGATATAACTCATGAACGCTCAACTTTAGGAAAAAAGTGTTCAAACAAAAAATAGAGAAAATTGATTTTTATACTATTTTTATACAGTGTCATTATTTAAGTGTGCAACATATGGGATTTTTCTTTAGTCATAGCGCAACCAAAATACAAACAAGGCCAAAAGTTGGTGCATATCTGATAATCATATTAGGTGCATTTAGAATGGTTGCAAGTCAAACAGCATACACGGTAGCTCAAAAAATATCAAAATTGTAGTAATATTTACTTAAATAAAATAAAACTTTTGCACTTTGAGGAGAGTTTTTTTAATATGCATATTATTAGTAATGTTTCAACTTGTTTAAAAAAAATTGCTACATTTTAAAGTTGTGTTGAATATCATTGCAACAAACATGAATTTTGTGATTCCATAAAAAATTAAAAATCTAAGTTAATTTTACAAATATGCTTCAATTTGAACAAAGTTATGTAAAATTGATTTGATTTTAATTAATTTTTGAAAGTATTAGGGGGGAAATGAAAAATAAAAAAAATATAGAACGTATCAATGTTTTTCGAAAAAAAAAAAAAAAAAAATCTTAGGAGGCCGTGTTTTGGAATTTAAACCTAACTTTTCATTCCAAACAACTTTTCTCAATAAAATTTTGCTGAATTTCCTAAAATAAGGGTACTTTATAGTACAATTTTGATATTATTTGAGCTACCCTGTATGCTGTTTGACTTGCAACCATTCTAAGTGCACCTAATATGATTATCAGACATGCACCAACTTTTGACCTTGTTTATATTTGGGTTGTGCTATTAATAAAAAAAATCCCCATATGTTTCACACTTAAATAATCACACTGTATAAAACTGCTTTTTGAAGCTGTTATCTGTAATGAGCTACGGCTACAGAAAGTATTTATTTTTTTTTTAATTCGCATTTTCACTATATTTGTTCTGTTTTTTTAGATAATTACGAGTGAAAAACGATGAAATTCACTTAATCGAATTTATGTATGTATAACGTATATAATATGACTATCTATATATGTTATATGGATTTCACGACTACAATGACCTCCAGACGCATCTCATCACCACGGTCGTACAAAGTACGCAAAGTCTAGACGCTACTTCAGCAAGTTATCCTGTGTGAACATGTCACGCCAAGAGCTCTGCTCCATCGTCGCAACGCTCCCATAGAGACAGCAAGATCAACATGTTTTAAAATATAAAAGACCCTGTCTCTTTAGTTTAAGCGTCATTATTCGTCATTATTAAGTATAGTTGAGTTAATGTCCATTTTTATTGTAACCTGTATTTTAAAATAAATTCGTGTTTTTTTTTTTTAAGTGATTTCAAGAGTTTTTGAGATGAAAATTTGGCGCAGTCGGTAGCATCTGTCAACGTTGTCAGAACAAGAATATTCTCACTGATAGCGGCAGATTCTAATCCTATAAACAAAAAAAGAACGGAAGAATCCCAACTCGGAGTGAACACGACGAGAACACGACGATTTCATGGAGCCTCTTCTTTTGATGTAAGTACTTAAAGTCAACCATTCACTTCCGAAATATTTTTGTTGTTGTTTTTGAATATTTTTATTTAAACAAAATGCCTAATGAAACCAATGAAACCATTATGGAAGTTGGAACCATACAGACTTTCTGAAATATTTTCGATAATTCCGGAATTTGAAGGAGATCAAATCTTTTTAGGAAACCTCATTAATGCATGCGATTGTGCCTACAATATGGCCAGCAAAAAGTTTTACTTGTTATTCATCTTAAAAATAAGCTCAGAGGTAGAGCAGGTCAACTGATAAGTTCTCGAAACCCCAATTCCTATTTGGAAATCAAACAACTTCCGAATTTACACTTTGGAGATTCTAGAGACCTCTCAGCTCTTATCCATGACCTCCAACGACTCAAACAACTACCTGGCGAGTCCCCACTTACTTTCTACAACAGACTCCAAGTACTGAATGCAAAAATGCATTCTTCTATCCAAAAGTCACCACACCTTAAAACAGTAGATCAAAAAGAAGCACAGTCCTCCCTTGTGGAATGTATGGCCCTAAACACTCTACTTACAGGCCTAGAACCTCGCCTTGGCCAGATTATCACAGCTGGAAGCCCACACAGTCTCTTGGATGCTCAATGTAGAATCAGGAGAGAAATCCAACTTTCCTATTTTGAGAATCAGAAGACTCCAAAGACTACTGTTCAAAAAGTTTTGGTCAACAAACCACAATCATCCATTAAATGCTTTTCTTGCGGAAAAATTGGTCACACAGCCAATCAATGTAGACAACAAGCTTCCAGTCGTTCAAACTTCACTCAATGCTCAAATCAAAATTTCCAAAAAAACGACAACAGCTAACTACTCAGGCACCGCAAATCAATAACCAACAACCAATGTTTTCCGCAAAATAGAACCCAAAATGCATCTACTTCGAAACAGTTCGTACCAAGATACGCTTCAACTACCCCTCAAAGAAACCCCAGTTTTTACCCTAACCACCAAAAAACTTATCTTTTAAATGATTCCTCTAATGAAACATCCAGTTATGAAGAAAACGAATATGCTAAACAGTTCACTAATGATCCGAACGCTGAAAATTATCAGGATTTTCTGGTACCTACCTTTTACCAATCACCTTCTGAATCTAGACAACATGAATCCGAACCTCAATTTTCCGGAACAAGCATTTCTTTAAACCCACTTCTCACTGTTAATTCGAAAAATCTGTACTACATTCATGATGCTGCCAATAAATTCAGATTACTCATTGATACAGGTGCAGGCATTTCAATTTTTAAAGGAAATACTGTCAATAAATTCCTCTATCGTTCCGAAGAAAACGTAACCATTCAAGGTATCACCGATCAAAAACTCCAGATCCGTGAATCAACACTTGTACCGTTCACCCTCCAAGATCCTCACAAAGTGTGTATTTACAACTTGAATATTGATTTCGATGGAATTTTATTTAGGGTCGGATTTCCTAGAACATCATCAATGTGTGATAGATTTGAAAGCTGAAGAACTTGTAACTAATTTCTAAATTATCCCTCTTCATAAAGTTGCTGAAGATGACTACCCTAATAATGCAAAACCAAACAACACTCAAACATTTCTTAACAAAATATCTATAGAAGCTAGAAGTGAAAAGATCTTTAAACTCAAGTGTAATCTATCCAACACAGATGTTTCTCAAGAAAAAGAAAAAGTCAAATTACCCAATGCTTTAGTTAAAGTCAAGGAACAAGGTGAATTTTTAACCTCAATTGTAAATATTAATGCTATAGAAAAAACCGTGGAGTTTTCGAACTTGAGTATCGAACCATTTGTCTCAGAAAGTGAAACTCAAAAAACCATTCTTATTTTTAACAACTGTAACCTCGACTATGACGATACTTATGATAGGCAAATGTCCATACACAATGAACATCGTACAGAACATTTGAACGACGAAGAAAAAGAACTAATTACCAACTTATGTCAACTTTTCCGACATTTTCTACCTGGCAGGTGACACGCTCACATTTACTAGTGAGATTAAACATCCTATTGACACCAATAATGCAAAGCCTGTGTATACCAAATCTTACAGGTACCCTCAAATCCACAAAGAAGAAGTCAAATCCCAAGTTACCAAAATGCTACACCAAGGCATAATTCGCCATTCTGTATCTCCATGGTCTTCTCCCGTCTGGGTCGTTCCTAAGAAACTTGATGCTTCTGGCAAACCCAAATGGCGCGTCGTAATCGACTACCGTAAAGTCAACGGACTTACTATAGACGACCAATACCCGCTGCCTAATATTTTCGATATTCTGGATCAATTGGGAAAATGTCAATATTTCACCACCTTTAACCTAGCCTCAGGTTTTCACCAAATAGAAGTAGACCACAAGGATGTTCTGAAAACCGCTTTTTCCGTAGAAAATGGCCATTACGAATTCGTACGTATGCCCTTTGGATTGAAAAATGCCCCGTCCACATTCCAAAGAGTCATGGACAATATTCTCCTCGGCATTCAAAACGAAAGATGCTTACTCTACATGGACGATATTATCGTTTACTCTCCTACCATCCACGAACATATTTCAAGGCTTACCGAAGTATTTAAACGCCTCCGTAAAGCTAACTTAAAAATCCAGCCGGACAAATGTGAGTTTCTTCGAAAAGAAGTAGCTTACCTGGGACACCCTATCACTCAGAACGGTGTAAAACCGAACCCTGCAAAAATTAGTTGCATTCAAAACTTCCCCACACCCAAAAATCCAAAATAAATTAAATCCTTTCTAGGATTAGCAGGATATTATCGTCGATTTATCCCCAATTTTTCTAAAACATCGAAGCCCTTGACAGAACTCCTCCAGAAAGATGTTCTATTTCACTTCAACCCGGAATTCATATCCGTTATTCAACGAATTGAAAAAGGCACTCGTTTCTGACCCGATTCTGATCTATCCCAATTTCGAAAAGACATTTCTATTAACCACCGACGCAAGCGCTTTTGCCATCGGTGCACTTTTGTCACAAGGCCCTATAGGAAAAGATCTTCCTATAGCCTATGCCTCTCGAACGCTGTGCAATGCCGAAACTAAATACTCTACCATAGAGAGAGAATTACTGGCCATTGTATGGGGCTTATCTCTTTGGTCGAAAATTTGTCCATATCACAGGACATCGCCCTTCAACTTGGCTTTTCTCAATTAAAGACCCTGGAAGTCGTTAAGCTCGCTGGCGCTTGAAACTCGAAGAATACGACTATCGAATCGAGTATAAACCTGGAAAAATCAATAAGAACGCTGATGCTCTATCTCGAATAAAAGTAAACCACTTTAAAGATTGTTCAGATTTAAGCTCCAAGATTCACATAATCGCTTCTAACAAAGAAGAACCCGATGTTGACGATATAAGAAACAGCCCCTCTACAAGTCAACAACAACAAGAAATTGTCGAAATTGAAAACAATGATGAAACAAACCTAATTGAGGAAGAATACAACTCCTTTGTAAATCTCTACAAAACCAGATCAATTATTGACTACTCAAAAATAGAGATTTTCAACCTACAACTTCTGGACAAGTCTCACAAAAATATTGTAACATTCTTTTGGCAAACCAAACTAACAGACTTACATTACAAAATTATAGATGATCTATTCGAGGAAAATTTCGAATTTCAACCTAATCAGGTTAACATTTTATCCAGCAAATCTGTGAAGGCACGCAAATACTTCATAATTCCCATTCCTTGCAACAATGAGAAAATAGACCCTACTCTTTTTTACTCGCTTTTCAAGTGTCAAAACGAATTTGACCCTGAAAAAACCTTTCGCATAGAAAACAATCTGGAATTACCTATTCTTGAAATATTTTCCTTTATATTTGTCAAAAAAAAACATTAAACTTAAGATATGCCAAAATATCGTCAAAACCCCAGCTCAGGACCAAATTCCAATTATCCTGGACCAATATCATACTGGAAAAACAAATTTACATCGTGGAATCATTGAAACCGTTAGAAGGATTAAAGACAATTACTCCTGGCAAGGTTTAACCAAAGATGTCGAGAAATTCATCAGAGCCTGTGAAATCTGCCAAAAAGTCAAAATCTTTAGGAAAAACCTTGGTTCTCCTCTCGTTATCACTGAAACTCCCAAAACTCCATTTGAAAGGATAAACATTGACCTTTTTGAATTCTCAGTTCGTAACTACGTCCTAACAGTTAGGGATGAACTTACCAAATTCACTCAAGCTTACTCAATCTCAGACAAAAAGGCGTCCACAATTGTTAACACCCTACTAGTATTTTTCCAACATTACGGTACACCTTTAAGAATTCACTGTGATTGTAGAGGTGAATTCAACAACGCCTTACTCAAAGACCTTTGTCAACTGTACGACATAAAATTGACATTTTCAAGCGTACGCCACCCACAATCCAACGGATCGCTGGAAAGATTCCATGCAACTTTAATGGAGATGATCCGCGTTCATAAAGCGGAACATCCAGATGAACACCCATTCAACATTCTCCCGAAAGCATTTATCTGTTATAATAATACCAAAAATAAGACACACGGATTCACGCCTTTCGAATTAATGTTTGGCCATACTCCGAATAGACCCCCTGAGACTCTTTATAATTAAAAACAGCTAATTTCCAAATACATATGAGACCTCAACAATAGAATGGAATATTATTATAGAATGGCTCGAGCTAAAACCGATATCTAGAAAGAAAAGTCGAAAGTAAGGTTAGACAAGACGGTCTCACAAAATCTTCCAGAATATGAAGCAGGTGACAAAGTGTATGTCAAATAAACTCAAATAAAAGACAAAGCTCAAAATCTTTTTAACGGAATAATTGAAGTTTATAGAAACTCAGCGAAAGTGAAAAACCTCAAAACAAATCAATTTTCGGAATTTAACTTTGATAGACTAAAGCCGTTCTATGACTAGTCTATTCTTTTCCAGACTCGTCGGACTGATCGGCTGATTCCAGTCGTCACCCCTCAATTTCTTCTAACTCCAATCAACAACACAGTTGGGATATTCAATCACGAAGAAGGTAGTCTTAGAGTCTCAAATGAGAAATGGACCCTTTTAGTTTACAAAGAAATAGAATCATTCCAATCACTCCAACCAACCTGCAATGCCTTTGAGGAAACTCCAGAATTCATGCTAGGAATCTGGCAGAAAAATAGAGAAACGTCACCTCTAAAAGCCATCCAGTGGAAATTCCCTATGATTGCTGCAAACACCTGCCGGGTGCATCTTCCTGTGCCAGAGTTGAAACCTCTCAAACTATTTAAAATCAACATCGATGATCTAAACGTGGCACAGCATAGACTAAACCAATTTTCCGATGAACTGGATAAACTTATCCAAGAACCATTCGTATCAAGACATAGTCAATGGTTCAACTCCTTCATGATCGTACTAATAGCAGCCCTTGTAATCATTTACATTTGTTGTAAGTGTCGGCGAAAGGCACCTCCCAAACCTAGCCCTATCGACGAAGACGAACCACAATCGCCGAAGTCTCATTCACGTCTTCAAATAGGCAACAACCTTAGAAAGCTTTTATCGAAACGAAGAAACACCGTTCATCCAAATCTACCCTCAGAACAAGAGATGACCAGTCTACACAACAACCCAGTTGGTTTTTGAAAAAATTGTTGCAAAGCATCAACTTTTTACTTAATGGAAGAGCTGTTATATGGATTTCACGACTACATTGACCTCAAGATGCGTCTCATCACCACGGTGGTACAAAGTATCGCAAAGTCTAGACGCTACTTCAGCAAGTTATCCTGTCTGAACATGTCATGCCAAGAACCGCTCCATCGTCGCAACGATCCCATAGAAACAGCAAGATCAACATGTTTTAAAACATAAAAGATCCTGTCTCTTTAGTTTTAATCATAGTCATTATTCGTCATTATTGAGTATAATTGAGTTAATGTCCAACCTGTATTTTAAAATAAATTAGTGTTTTTTAAAAAGTAATTTCAAGAATTTTTGGAGATAACATATATACAGAGTGACACTTTAAAAACTTACAATGGCTATATCTGAGGAAACAAAAAAAAATGAAAACTCGCTGGAAACAATTTCTATGATTGGAAAGAGGGAACCAACATGACACTTGTTTTTACTTACTTACCTACCCCCTCACTTGAATCAGATGAGATATCACATCTAGGGGGTTGCTATACAAAATTATCAAGTAGGGATGGCTAGGGGTGGGGGGTAAACAGTTAACTATTACATCATTTTGGTTTCACCCACTGATCTAAAAAATAAATGGATAAACAAAGAACGCTTCTAATGCTGCTAATTTACAAAGTCCTAATCTAAACAAAAACAGCTGACTGGGACAGCTGTGAGCGTGCGCAGTAGATACATGCACTGTGCGTGCACAAAATCTGACCAATGAAAATGAAGGAATTTCAAATTTGAGAACAGTTGTTCGAAAGATAAGACACTGCGCAGGCGTTAGGCTGTTCCGTTGCACAACTGTTCGTAGAATATTGACCCCAAATTTTCGAACATTTTTTGCCAATCAAGCCCTATGATTGTTTATCCATTTATTTTTTAGATCAGTGGTTTCACCTCGCTATTATTGAAATTGTTTTCAGGGATATTTTATGTTATTTTTTTTTTTGGTTCCCTGGTTTTTTTAGCTATAGCTCATTACAGATACATAACAGATACAAAAAAAAGTTGTATATGGAAATTGTAGAAAATTAATTTTTCTCTATTTTTTGTTCAAACACTTTTTTCCTTAAGTTGACCGTTTACGAGTTATAAAACCATTTTTGTGCACACTAAATCCAAGATGGCGGAGGAAGCCGCCCCCCTCCTCGAAGGTCGAAAACTCAAATTTTTGTTTAGCGCTTCAATCCGAACAACATATGTCAAAATTGCGACTACCCCACCTTTTGCAAGCTGCCGATCTTTTTTTCGCTCTAAATACTGGCCTAAATAGTTCCAACAAGTAGATTTTGATCTCAAATACAATATTATAGGGAAAATTCAATTTTGCGACCTAATATAGAATCATATTAAATTTATGGTCGAATATAAATTGGAATAGGGGCAATAATAAAATTTATTATTCATAGAGGCCCTACGAGTATTAATTAGAGTTATTATTTTGCAGCACTTAATTAGTAAACGAGCACAAATATCGTTTATTAAAAAATAAATAAATAAATAAATAAGTATATTTCAATGTACAACAAACAAGTTTTCATACAATACACTAACTGCTATCATTTAATGTTCTCATTTGTCTATAAAATCCAGAATCTCGTCTTTTTTCTATATTATTATTATTCTGGCCTTGTCTTGCTAATGCTACAGGAACGGCAGCTCCCGAGTCACTAGCAGTTAGGGAAGAGTACGCAGTATTTGATTCTGCAGCTGCTCCAGTTGTACCTGAACTTGGAGCATAGGCTTGGTAAAGGTTAGAAGATTGAGCGCTAGAATCTCTACCGTAGCCAGCATGCCCAAAGGAACCGTACCCTCCGTAGCCATGGAAGCCTGGAAAAAAATTGAAGATAAATTTTAAAAAGCTAGGTAATTCTTTCAACAATTATTATAATTTATGGTACTCAATCTATTTGAATGGTGTCGAAGTTGAAAAGAAATCAAAACAATATCTCCTACCTTGATCTTTTTCAATGTAATACGGCGGTGGTGGATGACTATGTTGTTCAAATTCAATAACTTCAGAAGGACGGTGGTTCTTCAGCTTACTGATAAGCACAAAAACTGAAATAAGCAATGCTGCCTTCGCCAAAATTATAGCTTTAAGTGTCAAAATCTTCATTACACCAAACATTAAGCTAATTAAAATTGCCGCTTTATACCCGATTATCATTGGAATCATGTGTTTTCCGCCACCTTTTTTGCTGCCTCGACCTGAAACAGAAGAAAAAGTCATAATATTTTATAAATCAAGGTAGACAAATAGTCAATCTGGAGATTAATTTGCAGCACATATTAAAATTTCATTAGGATTCCAGAATTTGTAATTTTCCAGCTGAGTTTATATTAGTTTGCTGGATTCTAGACTCTGATGTGCCTATTACAAAATGCGAAATCACTTAATTTCCTATAAAATATTGATTAGTGGAGAATTAAGCTTCTTATAGGCATGAATTTTCCATTTGATTCAATAGGTAATACTTAGTATGAAGGATTTTGAAAATAATTTATTTGAGTTCTTCGGAAAAACATTATTTCCTATGGTGTGCTTATATTTACTTTATTCCTAACAGGGTGTTTTTGTATACACATTTGGCGCTCCGGAATACCAATATTCGTCATTTTTTAGGAATAGGTACTTTCCTAAGGGGAAAATGTTAGTTTCCAATAGCAAATTTATCATAGTAAAAAAATAATTCATGCTAATAGGACTCTAAAAGCGAAATATATACGCTTAAGAAAAAAGAGATTTTCGTAGGTACCTTTCAGAGTATATTGTAACAATGTACGATGATATAAATCTACCTATAGGAGCCAGCAAAGAAAACAAAAAATATTGTATTTCAAATGTGATAAAAATAATACAATACTATAGAAATTTTCCAACGGCCCTCTACATAATAATTATTGTGGTTACCTCCTAGCAAATACTAAAATTTTGTCGTAGTGTTCAATTCTTTCAACCTCCACAAGTTATCTTTGTTCTACCTGCAAAATATTACAAAGACAGCTTTACGTGGCTGAGCTCATCACGAGTTAATTTACAGGAAGGAAATTTGGTGCATTTCGTAGCGATTTAAAACTATAAATATTTTTAAAAGCAGTGAAAAACAAAAGCATGAATTACTAATATTATCTGGAGCCAACTGCTTTCAAATATTTGGTTTTATAACGATGAGATACCTATATTTTAAATTACTGTTCTATAACTATAACAAATGAAATTATTCTAGTTACTCACCCTCTTGATAATCGACATTTTTCTTGACATAAAAATCCAATTCGACACCTTCACTTTTAGAAGCTTTACCGACACTAACACCAACAACATCACCCAAATTCAAATCCAACGACAACCTATCCATAATCGGCGCATTTCTGCCTTTAGGACTTTCGTTCAACTTCAAAACGACACCGTATCCTAAATCCCATCCTTTTGGTGAAATAAGGTCCTTTAACCACACATTGCCAGCATTGACATTCACGAATAAAACTAAAAACACAAGCAAACAAATAGACCGCATAATAAATAAGAATAAAATAATTATTTTTTTATATTATTGCAAATGTGAAAAACTAATTGGCTGTCTTTGGGACTTATTGCCAGGTAACTAGAGTAAAAATAGTCTACAGTTCCTTATATCGTTTACAGATGGTAACCAACCCTGAAAAGTGCGTGTTATTTTTCTATAGGCAAACATGCCAGCACAGTTAGTTTTTGAATTATTTAAAAAGTTTTATGAAGCGCAACAATTTCATGATAATATGTTGATTAATTATTTCATTAAAAGTGGTAAATGAATTTTCTTTAAGAAATGTTTAAACAAATATTAATTATCCAAATTCTTGCGTGAGATTTAAATTATTGAGGTCAGTACCCACATAACAAAATTGCATCCATAGAATGTAATGGAAATGTTCTTTTTTTAGGAAGAATGTGCCTGGAATATTCGCCAAAACAATTGCGAATGTCCTGAGAGTGTTCTATAGATTATAAAAATACTGATTGCAATACCCAAGAAATTCCTGGGAAATCCTTTAAGATATTCCTAGAATATACCTATGAGGTTCTCAATATATCCTGGAAAGAATATTCTTGTTTGATTCCAAAAATATGCTTGGATTTTATATTCTCACATTCAAAGAATGTTTTTATAACATTATAGTTATGTTCTCAAAAGAATATATGCTTGAAATATGCTTACAATATATCTACATATACCATTCTCAATATGCATCCTAGACATAACATTCTTGTTTGATTCTAGGAATATACTTGGAATGTTAATTTTCGCATCCAAATAATGTTCCTCTTACATTATAGGTAGTGAAAGAGTTGTTGGAAATTTTTTTTGGAAAACACAAGTTCTGGATTCGAGCTTGTTATGTTCTCGTCAGTCGTTAGCGCAATATAAGCGGTAAGCACAAGCACACCAACTCAGTTTATTTATTTATTTATTTAATATTTTCCTTATAATGATAAACAATTTACAATATTTGAGTTGAGCGTCTTGATCTGGTTTTTGGCGCTCTCGTCCTGTCCTCTAGATTGTATGGTTATTTTGTTCTTCCGTTTCGCTATAGGTAGTCTTCCGGTATGTGGTTGTCGTAGCACTTTAAGTTGTTTAGTGCTACTCCCTTATCACCACATTGTTGATTACCCTATATTTGATCCTGTAGGGTAATTGTCTTCTCGTGCGTCTTCCTATATGGCTTGTGCTCTGCAGTCTTCTGGTGGTCCGCTCGAAAAAGCTTCTGGTCCTTTCTAGTAGAGAGTCATCATTGGGTCTGACATTCAGTCTATGGTAGACCATAATATGGTTATTTACGAATTGGTTCCATTTAATATTCAGAGCCATCCTGAGGCACTTACAGCCGTATTCATAGTCAATCGCCAGGCAGTCGCCGTGTGCTGGGCCAAATACGGCGACTCGCTGGCGATTGACTATGAATACGGCTATTAGTCTCCAGTCTGAAGATGGGTATCTTGTTTGTTCTGGCCGCTGAGCTCCAAATTGGGTATGAGTATGTCATAATAGGCCTGACATACGCCCGGTATAGGCCTATTTTTCTTTTTGGGTTTAGCCTACATCTTGTGGAAAGAAAAGAGTAGATGAATGAAACTGCTTGTCTTGCTCTTCTTCTGACCCGTTTGCAGTGCTCTCTGAAGTTAAGTTTTCTATCTAGGTTTACTCCTAGGTAGGTCACATTTTCGGATGATGTTATTTCATTATCATTTATGGTAATGTGGTTTGGGTCTGGCCTTCTTTTCTGGTTGAAGTGGATTATGTTGGTCTTGTTATGGTTTAACTTGAGCTTCAATTTGTGGCAGTATTCGTCTATTATTCTGGTGTGTTGTTCAACCTTGGCTGCTGATATGTTTATCCTTCTTGATTTGGTGAATATACCTATGTCGTCGGCATAGACCGCGATGTTGGTGTCTGGTCTTTTTAGTATGGCGTTCAAGTAACTGTTGAAAAGAGTCGGTAATAGTACACTGCTTTGGGGAAGGCCCTCAGTGATGGGTTTAGTTTCTGAAGTGGTATTTCTAATGCTTACTGCGAAGCGTCAGTTGTTCAGGTAGCTATCAATTATTTTTCTTATGGCTGGGTTGATGTTCATCTCTATCATCTTGTAAATGAGGGCCCTTCTTCAAACAGTGTCGAAGGCTTTCTCCAGAGTGGTCGTGTTGTTTACGTTGTTGGCTTCCATGGCGTAGTCTTCTACACTAGGTAATTGTAGTGCGGTAGATTGGCCTGGTCTGAATCTAAACTATTCTTCTATAAGGACATTATTGTCTTCCAGAAACTTGGTTATCGTTTTGTTAATGATTCTTTCAAGGATTTTCCCGAGGTAGTTTAGGAGTGAGATCGGTCTATAGCTCTCGGGCAATTTCTGGTCTTTTCCTAGTTTGTGGAAGACAATAATGTTCGCTTCTTTTCAGGCATTGGGGAAATAATGCAGCTTTATGCACGTGTTGTAAATGTGAGAAAGTTGGACTATTACTTTCCTAGGTAGGAATTTGCAGTCTTTAGCTACAATTTGGACCTTCCATGCTGCTTTAAACGGTTAGGACTTCACTATCAATCTGTGCACTTCCCTAGGGCTGGTTAGTATATCGTCTGTATTATTTGATTCCGTGTGCATCAGGTTCCAGTATCTGTCAGTGACGTACCAGTCAGTGAGTTCATCTGACAGGTGTTCTGTCAATTTACTGGTTTTTATGATTTGGTTTGCGATTGCATTTGATTTTCCCTGTGTGTCTGTTTTGGTGGTTTGTGCTCCAGTGTCATCTATTATCTGTATGGGTGGAATGTTTTGGAGGTTGTCGCGGTTCCTGACTCCTTTAACGTGCTTCCATATATTGCCGTTATCGTTGTGTGTCTGTTTTGGTGGTTTGTGCTCCAGTGTCATCTATTATCTGTATGGGTGGAATGTTTTGGAGGTTGTCGCGGTTCCTGACTCCTTTAACGTGCTTCCATATATTGCCGTTATCGTTGGCTGTTTGTAGTCTATGTTTTACACTTCATTATAGTGTGATAACGTGAGTTCTTTCGCCAGGGCGCTTTGGTCTATATATTCAAGTTTGTCCATAATGTTCCTCGTTCTTTGGTATTGGGCTTTTAGTTGGTTGCGCCTGGTAACTTCCGTTTGTATATTTTCCAGAAGTTTTTCTAAGGTTTTCGCGTTCCCTTTCAGTACATGGTTGGCCTTGGCATTTATGATTATTCCCGCCAATATTTGTATTTCTTAGTCTATTTCCCTTCAATTACTTTTGATGTTGACGTTCCTGTCAATTTCTGCATTGTATCCTCGCCAGTTTGCCTCTCTATAGTTATTGTATGGTCTTAGGGGAATAGTTTCCAGGTGTTTTTGGATTTTGAACACTACTGGATAGTGGTCCGATGGTAATTCAAGCAGTGTTTCTGCCGTCACTTCCAGGTTTCTTGTTAATCCTACGTCCATAAATGAGTTTGCAGGGGGCCTTGTAGGTAACTCTGGGGCTATTATTTATATGTCCGTGTTTTCCATCATTTCGTATAGGATTCTTCCTGCTATGTTGTTGCTGCGATTGTTCCAAAACACGTGTCTCGCATTCAGATCGCCCACTAAGATTAAATTGCGGTGATTTGTAATATTAGTCAGTTCCTGGACATGTAGTTGTTCTCCCTTGTTATTATAGGCCACTGTGATGGTTATGCCCTGGAGTATTACTGCCAGGGATTCAATGTTTGTTGTATTTGTTATCAACTCTTCGCAGGTAATGTTATTTTGTAGGTATAGGGCTATTCCACCAGCTAGTTTATTTGGTTGGGGTTTTTGAAAAATACATCATATCCTGTAATTTTGGGGGGCAGTCTATTTTTGAGTTTGGTTTCAACTATGGCAATGGCTTGGGGTTTCTTTCTCTCCACTAGGTCCAGGTCCCTGATTTCGTGGATTCGTTTGGTTATGCCATTAGCATTTATTAGAACATTCGTAAGGTTCCTATTTGCCATAGCTAGCTAGGATCAGGAGGACTTCGGCTTGGTTGTTGGCTTTCGATAGCTTGGTGTTTAGGGTTCTGAATTGGCTGATTAGTTCCTTAATATTGAATTTGTTATTTAGGTTCTCAATTTCTTTCATGAGTGTTTGGAAGTTCTCCAGATCATTTGAATTGTTTTGATTATTTTGTTTGTTTTTATTGGGTAGCGGGGGAAAGTCGCTTCTGTTTGGTATTGTTTGTTCTTGGTTTTTGTTGTTGCTTGTGGTTTGGCTGTAAGTTCTTCCTTGTTGTTCTATTTGATTCGAACTTTTTAGGTTGTGTGCTGGTTATGTATTCCTGTATGATTTTACATCCTCTGTAGTTGGCTGCATTTCCTTCATTGCAATTAGCGCAATTCATAGGGATTTCTTCCTCATTTTCCTCATTTCCTTGATCCGTGGCCTAGTCCTTGGCATCTATGGCATTGCGTTATGGTAGTTCCCATAATTACTGACTGTTCGATATTTCTTGTCCTTTTTAGGAGCCCTATATTAGTTTCTTTTTCGGCCGTTATAAGGTAGGAGTGGCCTTCACCTTGCCTGGCTTTCATTTTGATACATTCAGTAATTTTGTATTCTTGGTTTAACATTTGTTTGACTTTTTCTGTATCCATGTCTGGGGGGCCTTTGAAAACCGCCCTCTTTTGTCTGGCATTTCTGGGTACGTATGTTTAATATGCGACTTTATCCTCATCGAGGCTTTCACGCAAAAGGTTATGGCCTTCAATGTTGTCCGTATACACTTTTATGTTTTTGGGGGTATACTTGAGGAAAAATGGCTTACCTACCCCGTAGGATTTCACTGATTGTTTGTTTGAATTGATTGTTCACTTTTGCCGTAACCATAATGGGTGGTGGTTGGGCTGTTCTGGCTTGCTACTACAGGTTCCTCTGTAGGATTCACTGGTAGTATCCCGAACCTATTGTTGGTTGGGGCATTGATTCGGGTACTGGTTCCTGGTTGTTGGGGTTCCATGGTGGCTTCTTTCTCCTTGGAGGAGCTGGATACGGCTCTATGTTCAATCCTGCCTAGTTTGGTATACACTGGTTCTTCGTCCTCTTTCTCCAGAATCCGTTTGGTTGGTATTCGGATGACCGTGCCCATCAGGGCTCGCCGTTGGGTTTTCCCACTGCTCGTCACTCGCACTTTACTACACTACCACTGTATATCGCTATACTTGTTTCAATATCGTATTTCCCCTCTGATAACGTTACCATCAGTTGGTACTAATCTTTTTCCGTTCCGAGTTCTTTACTAGGAGACCGTTCAAGAGCTCGACTCGGAAGAATAAATGAATACACCAACTCAGACAAACAGGTTCCAAGGAGATTCGAAGTCCTACAAAGCAAAAGAAAAAGAATATAGGTACCTATAATATTTTTAATAGGTTCTAAATGACACATTATTGTTTTTCAATTGAGATTTTTGAGTAGGTACTTTAGATAATTAAGTGAACAATATGAAAATATTCTTATCATGGGTACCGACCTACATAAACTTCTCAGCACAACTTGGTAGGTATATTCTTAATAATTAATAGAGATATTAGCAGTAGCGGAAGAACATTTTTTAGGGTACATTATAACAATGTTCGTATGACAATATTCAAATAATGTTATATAAAGTAGGTTCTTAGCACAATCTTTCAGGTAGGTGCATAAAAGCAACACTCCTAATACATAAATAGAACGTCCAAAAATGAATATTTTAATCGACACAATTTTAGAATATTCATTACACATTCCTAGAAGAATATTCCAAAAAGCACTTGGGGGAATATTCTGAAAAAATGAATGTTCTTTCACTGTTATGTGGGTATATTCGATGTCTTGTTTGAATTTGAACTAAACCCATTCACAACCTCCTTGATTATTGATAGAACTTCAATAATGATACGCACTGGAAAATCTTGATAACAAAAATCATTCCCACTTAGGAGTTAAAAAATTTGGAAAATATTCAATTTTTGTCAAATAGAAAATATAAATTTGCAACCCATTTCGAATGCCAGTTATAAACCAGTAGTTGATAATTGTTATTCCAATTTTCCAAGTTTTTTTTTTTAAACGAAAGTTTAAAAGTAACTGTTTATTTACTCATTGCAATAACTTGAACATAATGTTTGAGGTTATCCATGCATATAACATAAAACACTCAGTTCAACCTTCAATGAAAAAAGGTTGCAGAATGTTATTCTATATAATTTTGTCCCAGCAGTTAAGTATCGTTAGTTTCCCTCTGAACATTTCCTGAATTTTTTCAATGTTAGTATACCTACCAAACTATTAATAAATTGTATTTCCTTTTCAAAATAATTTATTAGGTCAATAGGCAATTTTTGCTTTGCCTGTGACCCTGTGACACAAGTCACAAATTTGGTTTTACGATTTTTTATTTTTCTACCCTAATGATTTGTTTCCGAGCTAATCGAAATCTAAATAAGTATCATGAACGTAGGTTCGTATGGTTTGATGATTTTAAGGGTCCATATATGATATAGGTACTTCACCTTGTCGAGAGTCACCTGCTGTCAGGAATGGAAATCCTGCACAGACTTGATGGCAGCTCATTCAACCTAACCAGATTACGAGCCAAAATATTCGACGACATCCATAATTGAATTTCAATGATGAGGGCCAATACAGAGGCAATTATCAATGCATTTAATCAGGCATACAGGAGAATCGGCCTAGAGGTCAACTTTAACAAGACGCAGATTCTGCACCAACCCGCACCGGGCACTAATCCCCAAGCCCCAAATATAACTATAAATAACCATTATTTGCAGAATGTAGAACACGACCCATACCTTGGCAGCTATCTGTCAGCTAATGCAACCATTGACGCTGAAATCCAACATCGCTTGAAGTGTGCTAGCGCGGCATTCCCCAGCGCTGCCTTAAAAGGATCCTACGGGTAAAATGGCAGGACTGGCCAACGAACATTCGTGTTTTTGAGGAGGCCAAAACAACTAGCATGGATGCCCCCGTCATCAAGCACCAACTTCGCTGGACAGGTCACCTCGTCCGCATATCCGAAACACGTGTTCCACGACAAATTCTCTACAGTCAACTAAAGAGGGAAATCGAAATCAGGAAGGTCAACAAAAACGCTACAAGGATGTTCTTAGGAAGAATATGAGAGAGTGCCGCGTCGATACCAGCAACTCGGAGACGACGGAAAATGATAGGCTCTCATGGCGTCAAGTAGCCCAGGAGAGACCACAAACTTTTGAAGAACAGCGTAGCAGATGTGAGACCGGAAAGAGGGACCGCAGGAAGTAGCGAGAGAACAGAGGAAGATACAATGCTGCTAGAAGCTGGGTGTGCCAAGACCGTGGAAGAGTGCGCTGCTCCAGAATTGGTTTATATAGCTATCAGAAAACGCACAATCGACGACATTAAGAATAGATTAGAAGATAATCATACTCGAAATCGAGTGATCGATTATGATGATGATGGTTTGATGGCAACTGTTATCATTCATATAATTTCTTGAATTTATAGGTTTTTATTGTGTCATGTAGTAATTTTTACATTGTTAGACATAGATTTTTTGTGATAATTACCATCCATAGGCAGCCCTACCATCACAATTATTGAACACCCGTTATGTCCTTTTTTATGCACCTCAAATTAGTTTTCCCTTGTCCTTGCATCTAGAAGCTAGAAGAGTTTAGATTCAATGATAGATCCGCCGTACTAAGCTGTGATTTACAACAGGGGTCCAAACTAAATTTCTAGCAAGAATATCATATTTTCAAAAAGACCCTTTAAACTGCCCCATCAATTTCTTATTCCTGATAACTTGAAAACGATAATCTGACGGTTGAAGACATGTTTTTTTCTTATTAATTGAATTACCTATCCCAATTAACATGTAACAGTACAGAAAAATATATAATAATAATAACGTTTATTTGCAATATAAATAATTTTTTTTAACAAATATATAATATATTATATACATAGTATATATTTCATACTAGTTACAATAATTGCAAAACGGACCTGGAAAACAATTTGAAAATTGATCGAGTCCAGACCCGAAAGTTTTCCTTACTATCCGAACCAACGTCCGCCACAACCACAGAGCACAGATATTTTGTTTTTGTTTTTAACTAGGACAAAAATCTAGTAGTGGTGAACGGATGATCTTAATAGTATTGAAAACCTGTTGACTCCGTAGGTAACAATTCAAAATCCTCTGCAAGCAAAATGAGAAAAAGAGAAAAATAAATAATATATAATAAATATATCAGACCTCTGCTCAGGAAGTGTAAAGTACGGAATTGGACAGTTTATATTAAATATTGTTCAAAAAAGTACAGCTTAATTCGCCTTTCAAAATTCTTTGGGTTAAGATCTATTAGAGCGGTGGGAATACCATTATACAGGCAATATACGTTGTAAGTAAAGCTCCGTTCAAACATTGCCGTTTTATGCCGTGGTGGTGCTATCAACCCTCTATATCTGAGGTTTAGGTTGTGAATGTCAGTTCTGTACTGGATTCTCTTCGCCAGATATGGTGGTGTTTGAGTTTTTATTATTTTATGAAAAAAGACAAGAGAATGTAGTTCTCTCCGTTTTTTCATGTCTAGCCATCTTGTATCTTTAAGTTTGTGTGAGACCGGTTGAAACTTACTGATTCCGTAGATAAACCTGAGGCAGGATTTCTGTACCTTCTGTATTCGTAGCTGTTCGTTTTGGTCTAGGCACGGTCCATATATTACATCTCCATAATTAAAATAGCTGAGTACCAAGGTATCTGTAAGATAGGTTTTTTGTTTGATGGTTAATGAGTGTCTGTGAGGGTATAGAAGCTTTAGAGATAAATATGCTCTTTTTATGTTCAGACTGACGTGTTGTCGAAACCTCAATTCTGTATCCAACAATAGGCCCAGATTTTTAGCACATTTCGATGTAGGAATTTGGCTACCGTTTATCGTTAAGTTAATACTTTTTTTAATTTCTGACTTTTTTTTTCCAAAGAAGAGAGTTATTGATTTTTTAGGATTTATTTTCAAATTATGTTTTTCAGAATATCCGATTAACCCTTCGAGATCCTTTTCTATAATACACTTCGCTTGAATCCAGTCCTGAGGGTGGAAAGAATAGCGAATTTGGTAGTCATCTGCATACTGATCAGATTTGCAGTTTTTTAGGCAGCTAGAGAGGTTGCAAGTGTATATGCAGAATAGTATAGGCGAAACGATTGCACCCTGTGGTACACCACTTTTAATTTCACTTTTATGTGAATAGCTGGAAGATGTTACAACAAACTGATATCTGTTTTCTAAATAATTTTTTACGAATGCAATTGCATGAGTAGTGAACCCTATAAAGTGAAGTATAGCTAAAAGTAGGTTATGGTGAACTGTGTCGAAGGCCTTGGAATAATCGAGTAAAATCAAGGCTGTCGTTTTTCCGTCATCGTTCTCAGCAAAAATGTCATCTGTTATATTTGTAAGCGCCGTTACGCAGCCATAACCAGGCCTGAAACCTGATTGATGTTCGGGAAGAATTTTGTATTTGTCTAAGTGCTCTCGTATTTGCAAATCCATTATTTTTTCTAATATTTTTGATAGGGAAGGTAAAATACTTACTGGTCATAAATCATTGTATTCTTCTGGTGAGGCTCTCTTTGGCAATGGCTTTACTTTTGCTACTTTCCAGGAAGATGGAAATATGCTATCCAAAATACAGGAATTTATTATATTAGTTATATATGGTAAGATCTTTGGACAGCACAAAATAATCATTTGGTAGTTTACCAAGTCGGACCCAAATGCTAAGGATTTTATGTTATACAATTGTTTCTCGACTTTCTCTGTAGTAACTATTTGAAAAGCAAACATTTCCCTGAAATTGCATTTTTTGCTCTGCTGATAAAAGTTTATAAGCTCTGGGTCCACCCTAGAACTTACCCCAGAGTATTTAAGGAAAAACTCATTCATTTCGTTTGGCTGATTTAATGCTTCTGGTAGTAATGTTGAGTTTTTTGTGTTCCCGACAATGTCAAGTCTTTTAAGGCGTTGCCAAAGAGCATTCCTGTTGGAGTCCGTACAGAATTCCAAATAACACTTCTTACCATTAGAAATCGCAATGTTTGTAGTGTTTCGCAATTGTTTATAGTAGTCCCAGTGCGATGGATTGCCCGTCCTTTTAAACCGTTTATATGCTGCATCCTTGAATTTTATCATTTTTTCTATGTCATC